ACAGTGTTTTTTATTTTTTAATCGAAAATTCTCATTATGTCATGCTTTAAGAGTTGCTACACTGTCTACATAAGAACATCAGAAGAGTTGTGCTTGGTCAGGCCAAAGGGGGCCCCATTCAAGACCAGAATCCTGTTCTCACAACGACCAACCAGATGCCTCTTCTGGGAAACCCGCAAGCAGGATCCAAAGCACGAGAGCACGCTCCTCTCTCGTGGTTTCCAGCAACTGGTATTCAGAAGCATTGCAGCCTTCAACTGTGGAGGCAGAGCACAGGCATTGTGGGTAGTAGCCCCCAATAGCCCCTCCTCCATGACTTTGTCTAGGTCACATAAAGTCTCTAACCAGTTGCAAAGAATCATGCTGAATCGTTAGAGCCAGTGGGAATGCATGCCAGCTTAGAAAATATTAGCAACTTGTTTATATCCTGTTGGAAGCCGCCCAGAGTGGCTGGGGCAACCTAGTCAAATGGGTCGGGTACAAGTAATGATTCAACTCATGGATTATATTCAGTGATTTAAATCAATTCACCCTGCATTTAGCAACCCCACACCTCCACTATGATCCAGATCTCCACAACCTGTTTGTCAGTCTTCAACTTTGCTGTCCAAATGCACACTGTGTGTCCTTAACGACAACACCTTTCACTTTGCTGACATACACAATAAAAGGTTGTGGCACTTCATCACCTCAGGAGGCAAAAGGTCATCTGCCAGGAGTCTCCCGCACCTTTTTACTCATTGCACGCCTTCTGAAAACCTCCCAAGTTGCCAGACTAGCCCCCTAGACCACATGCGGTTGGCAGGCACCCTTGCCATCACACACCTGTGGGCATTAAGATGAAGCAGTCTTCGCCCAACAGAGCAGCATTGATGGCTTCAAGCTGATTCGTCCGGAAGTGATGCAGACCAAATCTTTTGTGAAATATCTTCATCATTTCGTTAGAATGGGGAAATGCTAAGCCTCTGAAGTGCTCTAGCAATGGATTTCTGGAAGGTGAATTTTTAACCTGTGGATCTAGAAGAAAACAGGTTACCAGAATAAATAACAATTGCTTGGTTTTGGTGTGTGCTCTGTAGCATATCAACAGCTTACTCTTAACCCATTTTGCATAATTATAAGTATACTAGTGGAACTAGATAGGTGGAGTGTGATCCTCAACTGTGTTGGCAATGCAAAATCAAGAGCTGGGAGTTATCCTGGATTCCTTAATAATATAACTATAGGACCCTGTGAAATCTAAACTCAAAGTCATGCTTCTGGTCTCACTGAATGTAATTGATTCACACATCTAAGCAATTTTGGTCCCTGCTATTTACAACAGCAGAGTTTGGCACCGGCTTAACTCTCACTTTGGACATGACCCAGTGAATCTTTTCAAAATTTATCTTCGAAACAAAACAGTGTCGGGCAGCAAAGCTGACATTTCACAACAGCAGCCCTAACCCCCACAGAAGCAGCAGCAGCACAACCACAATGCAAAACCAGAGAACGTCACTGCTCAAGTTAATGTGAGAGCAAATTCCTGCTGTTTGAAAAGGAAAATGCTATACACTCCCTACAGCAGAATTTGGTATCGGTACAGAAGAAAAATCCTGTGTGTGTGTGTCACATTTCTCAAAGTATTTCAGAACTCAGAAATGCAGTGACAAAAGTGTGACCTCGTGAAGGAAAAGCAAAGCTGCTACCAAGTGACTGTGATGAAGCAATGAATAGTATTCCCATTGCAACTCAAGCAATGTGTCAGATTAGTTAATTACTCTCTACACAATAGCTCCCTGGCACAACTAGCTTCTGTGACAGAGAATTAGCATAATTTACCCAAGCAGCTCTTGGCAGGCGCACCCTGGCAGTTTGCTCTGGGAAAAATAGGATTTGAAAAATGACCATTTCCCTTAGCTGTAAGGGAGCTTTTTTCCAGGAATGGTTTGGCAGGCTGTGCTTCCTCAGCACGCTGGTAGCAAGTACTAGAAGGCTGTAAAGTTGAAGTGTTTATTACGTTGTCCAACTCATCAAAGTCATCAATATCAAAATCATCATCAAAGCCCACATTCTCTGTTGCTGAGGAATTCTCTCTCAAATTACTTTGAAGGAGAGTGAGTTTCTCTTGGTCTTGATTCCCCTTTGAAAACAGCCAACCCTTTTCTCCCCATTCTGTCCTTGGGTTTTTGATGGAACAGTTCAGAGAGGAGATTCTTTTCTCGACTCCTCTTTTAGAAAGAGACAATCCTGCATTTTCCGAGATGCTACTCTCCATAGCAAAAGTCTTGGAAAAAATTGACAGGTCAGCATTACTGGAGTCTTGAGTCCTTGGTACAAAGGAGGGGGTTGAATGAAAGTTATGCTGGGGTGCAACCTTTGGGGAAGGTTGTCTAGACACGAACAATTCCCTACAAGGGTCAGTGGCAGAGGTTTTTCCCAGTTGAAAAGAAACACCACCATCCATAGATCTTTCATGTCCAGAATAAAGTTTGCAATTTTCATCCAAAGATATGCCACTGTCCTTTCTACTTCCATTAGTGCCATTCTTTAAGAGTTTTCTTCTGGAAATAAAGAAAAAATATGAAATATTAATACACAGAATCAGAGTTGGAAGGGACCCCAAGGGTGATCTAGTCCAACCGCCTGCAATGCAAGGATCTCAGCAAAAACAAGCTTACTCCATGTGACAGCCATTTAGATATTTGAAGATGGCTATCATATCTTCTCTCAAGTCTTCTCTTATTTCAACTTTTTATAGGTCAGGTTAATAGTCAAAGAGCCAGATAAAGATGCCTTTGCTTACCAAAAAATTTGATATAAACTTGCCTCAATTGCCAGACCAGGATTTCTTGAGAGTATTTATCTCAGGAGGGACACTGGTGGCAAAAAAAAGCCCCCCTTGGGGACGCGGGGGACGCTGTGGGTTAAACCACAGAGCCTAGGACTTGCCGATCAGAAGGTCGGCGGTTCGAATCCCCGCGACGGGGTGACCTCCTGTTGCTCGGTCCCTGCTCCTGCCAACCTAGCAGTTCGAAAGCACGTCAAAGTGCAAGTAGATAAATAGGTACTGCTCCGGTGGGAAGGTAAACGGTGTTTCCGTGCGCTGCTCTGGTTCACCAGAAGCAGCTTAGTCATGCTGGCCACATGACCTCGGCCAGTAAAGCGAGATGACAGCCGCAACGCCAGAGTCGGTCACGACTGGAGCTAATGGTCAGGGATCCCTTTACCTTTACCTATTTATCTCAGAGACACAAGAGATAAACAGAGTCTGTGAACACACTCTGGGTTAGTGGCATCTCAAGACAGACCTGCGATCTCTATGCTGAAGGAGCTCCTTTCCACACGACAAAGACTTCAGCTCCCATTCTGGAACAGAATCCACCAGCTTGCAGATGTCTTCCATCACACTGTAGAGGGACCATCCCAAAAGTGAATGCTTGTCTGAAATGAAACACAGTAAGGTTAAAGCACCACTTTAGTCACAATCTACCAGCAACTTGAAAATGACCTGCTTTTTCAAGGAAGTCCTTAAGATTCTCTAATCCTTGGATTACCCATGTGCTAGTAGTTCATTCTGACTTCAGTGGAATTTAAGCATGTTTGTAATTCAAAGGGAAACAAAGGAAGTTTTACAGGAAAACATGCCCACCACACAGTTCTTAGGTGTTTTTTTAAAAACCTGAAGTCACATTGCAAAATCTTAATAGAAGCTGAAGCACTTACTACCCAGTCCTGTGATTTAGTCAGGTGCAAGGCTGCAGACAGGTCTGTATCTGAAGACCACAATGAGGTCTGCACTTTCTGAAAGCAAGCAGGTGAAGCCCCTTCAGGAGGAGTTGTTTTACCTTCCTGCCTATCACTGTTTCCATGGGTGGTTTCTCCAAAGTCTGGAAGGCTGCTTTTCAAGCTTCCAGGGGCCAGTGTTTTCTCAACAGCAGCTTCTCTGGAAACATACCTAACATTAAAAAGAAGTGGTTAAGTCATCCCGTATAAATACACTGTTGCGAATAAAGTTTTTCGCATCAGCTAGAAAACACTTCTTACTAAGCTTATTTGTTCCACCAGCATTTTGGTCATTCACTGATGAAAAAACTCCAGATCCATGATTTCACCATCCTACCCGGGCTACTTCTACCAGAGATGGTCCTGGTAAAGAACCAAGTTGTGGACTTATCATTTCCATCATACCTAATGCTTTTCAAAGAGGATGCAGAAGAAGGTATTTCTTCCTCTGGAGAGGGTGGAATGCAGTCTACGTAGTTTTCATCCTCAAACACATCATACATAGCTGGATCATTCCACACTTCATCTGGTTCCTCACTTTCATTTAGGATGAAGTCAGCATCATTCTGTGCTTTAAAACAAGCAATAAGAATATTTGACTAACAACAGTTTTAAAACACACTGAGGACAATTTTTAAAATCAATAAAACCCACCCAGTAATACATAAAATCCACCCAGAAAAAAAATCTAACAGACACAACTTAAAAACCCAGCCACCTATCCCCCTGCAAACCCCCCCCCCCAACTTTGGGTGCTGTATCCCATATGGAGATGGGCCTTCTCCATGGTGGGACCCCAGTTTTAAAACTCCCTGCTCCTTTATATTTAGCCTACTATGTGCTAGAAAGCATTTACTGACTGAATACATCTGTTTGCATGGTGTGAAAATGAACTAGTATATGCAGTTTTATGGCTTATTCTGTATTGGGTAGTTTAATGATTCTTTGTTACTCAGATCGAGATCTTGGACAAAGGATGCTATATAAACATTTAAAATAAATAATACTATTAATAGACTTCACTAGAAAGAAAGCCATTTACCTTTCAAATGCTCTTCCTTTTTGTCACCGAAGGGACTTTCCACAGGCTTCTCCTCCTGAAGATTTTCACTTACAAAGCTTTCACAAGGACTGGGTGTGGGAGAATCAAGGCAAATGACAGACTGGCTTCCAGCAGGATCTGGTTCCTTGTAAAGAATCTGTATTTTGTTCTTCTCACACACAGAGGGTCCATTACATTCTTGGTTAGCTTTTCCCATGCCATCTGCCTTTAATGACTTACTGGGGATGGGACTATGGTTTTTTGGAGCCTTCCTAGCTTTTACAGACTGAGTGTCTGAAAAGGAACCAGGCCGCTTTGAGCATACCTTTCGTGGACCAGATATTTCAAAGTCATCAGTGTCATCCCAGACATCATCAATATTAATAACTGAATTGTATGAAGAATTATGGTCTGATTTCAGGAGCTGATGGTCATCTGGTTTGCTGCCCACATCACTTTCTTTTACAGAAGACTGGAAACAACCCAGAACATCTCGACATTGCTCATTTGGATAATTGTGCTTTCCTTCCTGCTTTTTCAATGTTGTTTCAAAAACTTCACTGATTCTCATCTGCTTATCCTTTGACACACTTGGATTTGTCAAGGAAGAGTTAGCATCCTTCTCTTTTAAGGTCAAATCCTTTGTTTCAGCTAAATATTTTACTGGCGTACAGTTACCAAGAGAGGTTTTCTTTTTGAATGTAAATCCCCTACAAAAGAGCCAAACAGTTTATTTAGACTTTGAGTGATTCATCAAGTCCTGCATTCTTTATGCCATGGTATTTTCCTCTGCTTTCAAACACATGCTTGAATACTATATACAAACATTGCAAAAAAATTAATGAGATGTTTAATCTTAAGTCTCATTTTGGCATTCAGTTTCTTATCACTTATTCTGTTTAGATTTTAAACAGCAAATTAATCTTCATATTACAGTGGACCAAAGTATCTTGAAAGATAACAATCAATATACAGTATGTACCAGGAAACAGATAATTGGACCAGGAAAGTGAGCATGCCCAGATTTTTTTTTTAAATTAGCCTTTCATTTCAAGCCATGTATTTAAATTCCCCAACATGTTGCTTATTAACTATTTTTAAGCATTACTAACATCCAAAATTAGACAGAAATTACCTTTAAATGTGTTTTACATTTATCCAAGCTTTGCTGGACTCCTATTTTTAAAATTTGTAAAAGGATTTTGTATACATTGCTCAATTTTATTTGTGATATATATATATATATATAGAGAGAGAGAGAGAGAGAGAGTTACTTTCCCCCTTATTTTTATGCAGTTCTTAAGGTATTTTCCATGTTATGGCAAGAGGAAAATAAATATTTCCCCAAGTAACTATCATTAATGTCTAGTACATGCTCAATATCTGGTAAATATTGATTGTCACTGTTTGATCATGTTCAGTTTGAGATGCTCGGGGGGGGGGGCGCCGCAATACTTACATAGTCTTGGGTTTGAGAGGCGCCAGGTTTCTTAGAGGGGCTTTGGCTGAATGAAGTGCAAGCTGCTTCTGCAGGTTATTCTGAGGAACAGCTGCCATTCTGTTTTTTTAAGTAGGCTGGGGGAGAGAAAACAAACAAAACCTACACAGTTGAAATACATAAGTATCATAAGCGAAAATAAACTTTGGTCAATAAGAAGTTGAAAATGACTTTAAGGGCAGTTATATTCCCCACTGTAGGCAGAAGCAGGAGCTTGAGCTTCTGTTTTGACAATGGTATCCAAAGCAAATCGGCAAAGCTGAGCTAGACAAATGCCCCAGCAATTGTAATCGCTAGCCAGTTCAAAGGTGCTGAGATTCCCATTCAAGCTTTCCTGAAGGGCTCCAGTTCTGCGGCAGAGTGCCTGCTTTACTTATAATAAGGCCATTGCTAGATTAAAAGATGGGAGAAAGACTCTCCCAAAGACCTTCTGACTGCCATCTTAGATGGTCTAGGAGCGTAAGGCAGCTTCAGGTAGTCCATCTGCCCCAGCGCCAAAGGCAGGGGGATATCTGCTGAAGATGATCCCAATTCACTCAGACGAAGGACCATAATAGCTCGGCAACAGCATAGCTGCTTTGCATGCAAACTGCCCCAAGCCCCTTGGAGAAAAAGGTGGTATATAAATGCAGGTAACAACAACAACCCCAGCAACATCACAACCATAACAACCACAATCACCACAACCCCCAACAGCATTTCCTGGAAGGCTTCCCTGCCTCAAACCCTGGAGAGACTCTCGCTGCCTGTCAGTGTGGGCTGCGCTGAGCTAGATGGGCCAATGGCCTGACTCAGCAGGAAGCTGCTCCCCACGTTCCAGGGAGATGCCTGGCAGCCAATGGTCCCAGGAGCCAGGGCCGGATTTAGATTTGATGAGGCCCTAAGCTACTGAAGGTAATGGGGCCCTTTATATATCCAGCTGTCCTTTGTCAACAACAAATTGTCACTGTTTTTGTGTTGAATATACAGTGGTACCTCGGGTTACATACGCTTCAGGTTACATACACTTCAGGTTACAGACTCTGCTAACCCAGAAATATTACCTCGGGTTAAGAACTTTGCTTCAGGATGAGAACAGAAATCGTGCAGCGGCAGCGCAGTGGCAGCAGGAGGCCCCATTAGCTAAAGTGGTGCTTCAGGTTAAGAACAGTTTCAGGTTAAGAACGGACCTCCGGAACGAATTAAGTTTTTAACCGGAGGTACCACTGTATGCTATATGGTCATTTATGGACCTAAAAGGTATCTAAAGCCATTCGAACATAACAAAAGGCTAGGAGGCGTGGCCCATTATTTACATCATAGGAGCCTACACAACATAAAACACTGTTGCTGTATGTAGGTTTTACTTTATTTGTTTTTTAGCTTATATTTTGGAAATGTATATTCATTTCCCCCCCCCCTTTTTGGGGGGGGCCCAAGCTATAGCTTGGTTAGCTTATACGTAAATCAGGCACTGCCAGCAGCACAGCAGCTCCGAGCGCCGCCCCCCCCACCCCCGCCTGCCCTTGCCAGCGCAGCTCCCGCCCCCCTCCAGCTCTGCTTGCAGTGGGGCGGGAGCCCTGGGGGTCGTCCAGCAGCAGGCGGCCTCTCGCAGAATCGAAAGGAGCCCAATGGATGATCAAGTCCAACCTCCTGCGATGCATCGGTCCGCGTGGCACCCCCTCTCCCCCCACGACTTCACCGCTCCCAAGGACCTACCTTCACCGCAGAAGCGGCTCTCGCCGCAGTCGCCTCGCTCCCGCCTCCCTCCTCTTCGCATTTAGCGCCTTCTCAGCCTCCCGAGTATCCTATTGGCTAAGGAAGAGCTCCTTCCCGGCTGCAAAGGAAGTGACGTCAGCTACAGGTCCAGTGCCCGCAGAAGGTCCGGTGGGAAAAGGACACCTCCGGGCAATGGCTCCGCCCAAGGAGCTCCCCGCCCCAACCTCATTTCCCCCCCGGCTAATTCATTCTGATAGATGCAGATCCAGCGCCCTTAGAACAAACTCAAGACCAGCCTTTTTTTTTTTATTTATCCAATGAGCCTTTATTTGTCAAAACTAAAAACATCATCCTTACAAAAATAATCAGGCTTTTAAATGCAAAGAAACTGTTAACATCCCGCCCCTCCCCCCGCAAACCAAGGGCAGATTACAAAATGCAGATTACAAGATCCCTGATGCAGAGGTTTAGCAAAGAGGACAGAAAAGCTTCCGGGAAGTTGCTCGTGTTGTGTAGTGGTTAAGAGCGGTAGTCTCGTAATCTGGGGAACTGGGTTCGTGTCTCCGCTCCTCCACATGCAGCCGCTGGGTGACCTTGGGCCAGTCACACTTCTTTGAAGTCTCTCAGCCTCACTCACCTCACCGAGTGTTTGTTGTGGGGGAGGAAGGGAAAGGAGAATGTTAGCCGCTTTGAGACTCCTTAAAGGGAGTGAAAGGCGGGATATCAAATCCAAACTCTTCTTCTTCTTCTTCTTCTCTTCATTAGGACTGTTAAAGGAACAAGGGGGCTCTGCCATCTTCATGGGTGTAGCCAGGATTTTTTTTGTGGGAGGCAAGACTTTGTTGAGGGTGGGGGGGAGAACGGATGCTATTGGCAAGTTAGCTAAGTATTTATATTGCTTTACTTGGCTAAGCCCATGACCATCATCATCATCACCTACAGGAGCCCATGATTTTATTGCTATGGGCTTAAACACAGGATTAACGTAAATAAACTGTGTAAAAGGCAACTGATTATTTCAAATAAGCCAACATCTTAAAGATTTCTTCAGCATTACAATATTAACACCATACAGGAGTTTCTCAATTCAAGCAGAACAGTTCAAATACTGTAATTTTAAAAACAATCTGTGCAAAGATATTACCACTTGTTATACAAAACTGAGTTACGTGTACATAAATGTGCTCAGGAATAGGTGTACAGATAAAACATGAACCAGGCAGATCATCAGAGCAAGAGCAAGGCGATCTTCAGCCTCAGGTGGAACTGTGAGACCCCTCCAAACAGGTTGCAGGAAGTTCTAGATAAAATCACTCCTTCACAGCCCACAAATCTTTACACTTGCAAGCACTCAATTAAACATGTCAAAAGAAAATACTGTACTTGAATGGGGCCAGTATGTGTCAATAATCTCTGACATCAAGGTTTTCACCTTTTCAATAAGATGCTTGGCCTGGAAAAGCAATTAGCAGGTATTGTTCAAATCTCTGAGTGATAGACTTGTAAAAATGTTGAATAAACACAAAACCCTGAGCATGATCTGATTTGCATGTACAACCCATTTCTGTGATGTTTGAATTATGGTTTTGAGTGGTCTTGGCTAAGGGGCTGGACTATTTCTGAAGTATTTTAAAGTTGTTCCTCATTTTGTTCTAGAATTCTCACCTCGCTTGCATTGGGGGCAAGGGTGGGAAGAGACTCTCACTTGCAAACAGAGCAATAAAGAAAAATCCAGCCTTGTGTCTGTTTTGTTCTTTCTGTGATCAACAAGGTGATCACAAGGGCTGTAAAAGTGCCCCCCTTGCCAATCTGTATAACGAACGGATTGGTTTAAAAGCATGCCACCTCTTCCACAAAGGCTTCTTATTGTAGGATTCTGATAACAAAAGCTGTGCAAAATGTTGGGAATTGGGAGATATGAAGCAGTTTGGGCTGAATGAGAAAGCCAAGCTTTTTGAATCCCACCATCCCTTACCACTGGTCCTGTTAGCTAGGGATGATGGGAGTTGTAGTCCCAAAACACCTGGAGGGCCAAGTTTGGCCATGCCTGCTCTAAGGCATGGGTAGGCATCCGGCCCAATGATGGTCTGGGAATCAGCATGTTTTTACACGAGTAGAATGTGTCCTTTTATTTAAAATGCATCTCTGGATTATTTGTGGGGCTGCCTGGTGTTTTTACATGAGTAGAATGTGTGCTTTTATTTTATTTAAAATGCATCTCTGGGTTATTTGTGGGGCATAGGAATTCGTTCATTTCCCCCTCGCCCCAATATAGTCCGCCCCCCCACAAAGTCTGAGGGACAGTGGACTGGCTCCCTGCTGAGAAATTTTGTTGACCCCTGCTCTAAGGCTTCCAGAGCATTATACCACATGCCAGCTGAATTCACTAGAAAGGCACTAGAAAGACACTCAACCCTTGTGGCGGGGAGGGGGGCAGCAGTGGGGGAAAGCAGCTGATAACCAACAATAGTGTAAAGTAATTGGTCAGAACTCAGCATTTCTTGGCATATGGGTTGAGGCCTCACTGAAATTGCTGAAAGGGAGAGAACAGATTTCAAGTCAGTCACTAAGAGGTGTTTCTGGAAAGCAGAAAAAGTGGAGTTGGGGCACACAAAGACAAAGCAATGAGCCCAACAACAAGTTTTCTAAGGGTGTAAAAGGTACACATGACCCCCAGTTATGGCACTTGTTTTCCCCACCTTGTTTCAGTTGGTCTGTGTTTAGACAGTAGTTAAAAATTTGTCCTATTGCCTTCATAACATAAGTGCAATTGGCCTACCTAACTTATTGCTGGCTGTGATACATTAATTTTTACTGGATTTTGTTGCAAACTGTGATTTTACTCTTGGTTTTAGTGCTGGATTTTTATGATTGTGTGAGCTGCCCTAAGCTCGTGCTAGGGGAATGGTAGGGAATAAAGAAAATCTTAAGAAAAGGAGCATGATTTTGGATAAGGTGAGCAACTGTGCTAGAAAAACAAGATACACAGGGAACTAGGAAAGTGCAGCAACTTGGGTCAAAAACTTTTTCACAGTATCAGACACACATGTAGAGGAGGTGTGTGCTTGAAAATCCATTACAAGATAAACTGCCCCGCTTCTTGGCTTCGATGAACTTCATTCCAGCTTCGATTTTCAGCATAGCGGCCCATCACTACCAGCTCCCTGGCACCAGAATCCAGGCTGGCTTTAGACAAGAGGGACTGGGAAGGAGGCACAGTCAGCAAGGCCACACATGTTCTTTCCACGTTCAATATAGAAGTATCTAAAAGAGAAAACAGGTTTTCATTCATAGGCGTTGCCTTATCAGAGAGGAATGCACACAAAACCCTTAAGGGCAGGTTGGGCTGTGGCTCAGAGGTAGAGCTTCTGCTTTGCATGCATAAATTCTCAGGTTCAATCCCCAATGGCATCTTCAGGTAGGGCTAGGAAAGGCTCCCTGTCTAAAACCCTGAAGAGGCACTGCCAATCAGTGCAGACAACACTGGGCTAGATGGACCAGTGTTCTGACTTGGGGCTCATCCAGACTTCTGCTTGTCCTGCAGCTTTTCCCTGAGAAAACATCTTTACCTCTGAATCGGAGCAAACATCAATTGGGTTTTCTATGAATTAATGTTTGCTCCTCTTTAGAGCTGGAGAGCTGGTTTTCCAGGGGGAAGCAGCGAAGCAAAAGCAAAACTGTTCAGACCTGTACTTTCTAGGCACAGGACAAGTGGAAGTGTGGACAAGCCCTTGGTCTAAGGCAGCTCCCTATGTTCCTAAGACGCTATTCAACAAGGTGTGTCTTGGAATGCTTGAGGCTTTGCTAGAAAATTGTCCCGCTGCACCCTGAAGATGAGAAGCAGTTTGAAGGATGGTGCTTCTCTTGATTAGATTAGTTCAATTTATTAAGTGTCTCACTTCACACAAAGGAGTCTCAAGGCAATTTACAGACATAACAGCAGAACTATGCATTAAAAATCCATTAAAATGAAACAAATATGCAACAGTGTTCTTCCACAAAAACCCGTCAGCAAAATAACCACCCCATTACCACAAGGCTGAGTACCAAAAATAGATGTCCAAAAGCCAGACCATTAGTGCTGTCCAAATACCTGAGAAAATAAACCCATCTTTGCCTGGTGCTGGAAGGATAACAAAACTGGTGCCAGAGGGGCCTCAGAGGAAAGTATTCTGCAGCTGATGGGCCACTGCACACAGAGAAAGGCCTCTGGTGTTAATCTGAGCGTCTGGCTGGATAGGGAAATAGGGTCCTTAAGGTACTGGGACCACAAGCCCTGCAATGCTTTGTGGTTCAAAACCAGCATTTTTGGAATTGGGCTAAGAAACAAATGATCAGTCAGTGAACCCAGGCCAGAATTGCTCTATGTTCAAACCAGCCTAGCCCCAACTGGTAGTCTGGCCACTGCATTCTGTACTAGCATCAAACAGTCTTCAAAGGCAGCCCAACATACAACACATTGCAGTAATCTAGCCTAGAAGTTACGGGAGCTGATGCTGCCAGCCCCAAACCCTCTCTTGCCCCATTTCCCAGCTGTCTAATGAGAATGAAATTTTAATAATAATAATAATAATAATAATAATAATAATAATAATACTTCAGGACCGCATAGGCAGGATGAAGATGTACAACAAACTCCAAATAATCTTTTGCATTATAAATCAGATTTTGGAGAAGGGGTGGGGTTTACATGATGCCCAAGTAAATCTTGAATATTTATGGCCTGATCAAGTCTAAGGAGAGCTGGCAGGGGGGATCCTTTGTGGGCTTTCTATGGATGAAATTGGCAACCTAATTCTTGATATTATTATCCTCAGCACTGAAGCAAGCCACTAGATGGTGCCAGAGAATCAGCTAAGAATCCCAAAACAGCCATTGAGTCTAGCTATATATTTCTGACTACAACTCCCACCAGCCAGCTGGGGCTGATGGGAATTGTAACCCAAAACATCTGGACAGCACCAGGTTGGCAAAGGTTGGTTTATTATTAATAATAATTTTATTATCTGTCCTTCACCCTAAGGTACCAGGGCGGGTTAAAGCCTTAAAAACCATTTAAACAACCCAGAAGCATAAAATTAGGTGAGTCCTAAAAACATACACCACAGGTACCAAAAGTCACAGGAAAGAGGTGTGTCTTTGGCATTCTCCAGAAGCTGTATAATGAAGGGGCCAGACAAACCACTGTGAGGAGGGCATTCCACAGCTTAGGGGCCACCACAGAGAAGGCAATCTCTTGGGCCGCCGCCACCACCACCCTATGCCTCTAAAGGCAGAGGAGTTACCAAAAGGGCATCTTCTGCAGATCTTAGCATCTGAGAGAGTCTGTAGCAAAGGAGGTGGCTTCAGAGACTAAAGAGGAATACTTTACCCATCCATGCCCCACGAGGGGCCCCAGGAATTTTTGACAATCCAGTACAGAAGGCCATTCTCCTCTCCGTAGCCCACAGCCAGGACAGCATGATTGACTTTGTCTGGAGTTTTCTCACAGTGTTTGCTGTAGAAAGAAAATGATTTTTAAAAAAATATTTACTGTGTGTTGAATATGGAACCTACTGTCCAGGAAACCTACTCTTGCAGAATCCATGAGAGGAGGGGGCCATGCAGTTTCTGCTTAAAACCCTCCCATGAAAGAGAGCCCACCACCTTTGAAGACAGCCCCTTGCGCTGCCCAGCAGCTCAGACCATCAAGACTGAGGCTTCCTAGTGTTCAATCTCAGTACTTGTTCTTGCAATTTGACCCAGGAAAGGCAGGTGGAGCCTTGACCCTGATGGCTTCAGCAGTCTCCAGGTGAGGTCATCTGACCAAATCAGAAGAGACTGAAGTAACCCAGGTAAGAGAGCAGATGGAAAGTCAAGCATCTTTTCCTGCTCTCCCTTCTTTGCTCGACAAACACTGAGTCCTAGTGGTGCAACCACACAAATGCTAACATGCCCTGCAAGATGCAAGATGAGCTACAGGGCCATGACAATGACCCTTGGCATTATCTATAAACCAGTCCCATTACACACACACACACACACACACACACACACACACACAACACACACACACACACTGCCTTGTTCATGGCTCAATATATTCACCTGGTGTAAACACCCTTCGTGTACAACATAAAGTCGTCTGTCACTTCAAAGGCAAAGCTCAATGGATTGTACCTCCCCACAGCTTCCACCATGCCTTGCTCATCATTCTGGAAGGAGAAAGTCATAGGAGCATAAGAAGAGCCTGCTGGATCAGGCCAGGGGCACATCTAGTCCAACATCCTGTTATCACATAAGTCAACCAGATTCCTGTGGGAAACCCACAAGCAGGATTTGAGAACAAGATCACCTTTCCCTCTAGCGACTTCCAGCAACTAGTATTCAGAAGCAATGATGCTCCCAACAGTGGAGGCAGAGCATAGCCATTGATAGCCCTCTCCTCTGTGAATTTGTCTCATCCTCTTTTAAAGCCATCCAAGTTGGCGGGCATCACTGCCTCCTGTGGCAGAGAGTTCCAGAGTTTAACTATGTGCTGTGTGAATAAATCCTTTCTCTTCTCTGTCTCTATCTTAATATGCAATGCTTGGCCCTGGCTCAGCAAAGGCTGAGGAGGAACTCCCCAGGACACAAAGCAAACAATGGCCAGACTCAGGACCCATTTCTTAAGGGCCAGAGAAGATGTGCAAAGTGGGAAAGTACTAGCAATCCGCCACTCACAGCCAGGTGTTTTCTGTTTACTGTTACCCCTCTTTCTAAGAAGGGGCTGGACAAGTTCGAACGTCCAGTAGAAGTTCAGTTACATTTTATTTTCACCTCTTGGGAAAAGCAAAATGCATGGCAGGAGGAGTCACTCACCAGCGTAATGTTGACGACTTTTTTGACGAATGCAATGGCCTTCTGACCTTGGAATTTGCAGGTCCCGTTCTGTGCATGAAACAAGGGAGGCCCATTAGAGATGGCTCATTGGGGAGGGCAGTGCCTGCCCTCTTCTACTCTGCAATCCTAATCCCAGCAACAATACCTGTGCGGTGTATGGGTAGTCATCCTCCCCCATCAGCCCTTTGTTGTACAGGATGTATTCAAACGCCTGGCTAGGGAGTCCCCTGGGGAGGCAGAAACACAACAGCACAAATCAGCCTGCTCGTTCTGAGTTATTCTCTTGCTGTGGAGGTTGAGGAAGGTTGTGGGAAGGGGGATGCAGGGGATGGAACACTGAGTTTGAAGGTATTACTATGATAAGGAAGGGCTGAGATTACTCAGAAGATATGGGGGGGGGGTTGTTTCCCAGATGCTGCCACTTACGTATCTATTTCATAAAAATTATATGCAGCTAGATTGTGAAAATCCCCAAAGCAGTTTACAGAAAAGACGAAACCATAAGACCATCACTTAGAAAAATTAACAATAATTTAACACTTTCAGGAAGTTAAAATACAAAGAGATTAAAACTCGCATCAATGTTTTAAATGTCTAAATAGGCCGATCTAAACAAAAATGTTTTCAGCTGGCACCGAAAAATGCCCAATGATATCAAGAGGCAGGGAGTTCCAAAGTGTAGGTGCTGGCACACTAAAAGAATGCATATTACAAATGCAGAACAAGTTACTTGGCACCAATGTCAGTTCCGCCAACCAAAGCAGTTGAGTGGGTGTATATGAGGTAAAGTGATAACGCATGTAAACTTGTACTAACTTGTTAAGGGCTTTATATACTAATAGTAACACCTTGAACTTACCCACTACATCCATGGTTGTTGAAGGCCTGAGCACAGTCAACCAGTTGCTGTTCAGCCTGGGGGAGGGAGAAACTCCTGCATTCATTTATAATTTTATTTGTGTACTGCCTTTTCACACAAAAAACAATAAATGTGCTCATAACAGCTTGCAGCAAACAGGAATGCATTTCAAAATCAAAAAGTGCAAAAACAATGTTATAGTAACATAATAAAACAGCACAGTAGGAAATATAAAAACATACAAAAAAAATTCAGTACTATAAATTCACAACATGTGACTGGAAAGTTCGGTGAATGGTCACAGAAATTGGACAGTGAGAAATATTCAGACATACAATCGGCACTGGAAACCCACGAAATGCTCACAATTGTGTACGGAGATGAAGCTGTAACTCAAAAGACGGTGTATGAGTGGTTTAAGTGTTTCTGTGAAGGGCGGCAAACCATTGAAGATGACCCTCAGTCTGGCAGACCGCCAACAAGCAGAACGGCGGCAATGACAGAGTTCATGAGTTATTGATATGGGATCGGCATTTCTCCGTCCAAATCATGGCATATTCCGCATGAAATCATTACTGAATTGTCCCACCCTCCATATTCTCCCAATCTGGCCCCACCGGATTTCTTTCTTTTTCCAAAACTGAAATATGCACTGAAAGGGCACAGATTTCCCAACATTTCACATGTCCAAGCTGCTGTAACGAGGGAACTGAAAGCAGTACAAAAAGAGGACTTCTCCAGAAGTTTCCAACGAACATTGTCAATGGTGCATTGTATCAGAGGGGGGCTACTTTGAAGGCCTGTACGGTTGTAGGTTCAAATATTTCTTGCTGTTCGATTTCTGTGACCATTCACCAAACTTTCCGGTCACACCTTATAAAAAGATTACATCAACTAAGAAGGGTTTCTTCAGTCCCTGGTTTCCAGGTAAATTGGCCTGCACCAAAAGTAGGAAGTGGAAGCCTGTCCCTTCCAAAACCTGCATTCAGTTAATCCAGGCATAGGCAAGCTCGGCCCTCCAGATGTTTTTCTTGCTCAGGGAGATTTGTCCACAGCCAGAGGCAGGCTCCCGAAAGGGAACAGGCATTACAAGTTAGAGGATTATCTGTTAATTAACTTGTAACACCTGCCTCTGGCTATGGACAAATCTCCTTGAGCAAGACCTTCAGCTGTTTGGCTGTGTGTTCCTGCACGTACATGAGCTTTGCTGCTTTCAGCTGCTTTAAATACATGTTGAGCTTCTGACATTCCCTTTTTGCTGCTGTGGATGCCCAGTCCTTTTGTCTCCACTTGGTTCTGAAGAGGCAAGCCACTTTTTCTTAACCCAGATGTGGCCTAGACTTTCATGAGGTTAACACAGGCCACACAGACATGGAAGAGAGGGAACCAGATAGGCCAGAGTTCAACAAGGCCAGAGTTCAACAGGGGAGCCTTACCAGGTCCAGTAGCTTTCCTGTTGCGATGGCAATAGCAGACTCCAAGCACCCAGTGGTTGAGAAAGTCCAGCAACTGCCACAGGGACCCTTGAGGAGGAGGGAGAAGTCAGATGGATGGAAGTAAGGAAAGAAGAAGAAGACTGGTTGACTGAGTTTACTTATATGGCGCTTTTCCACAATAAGTTGCACCCAAAGCAGCTTACAGCAAACATTCAGAACATCAAAATACAGCTCATTGGACATATAAATATACAACACAGAGAGCATGTCAGTAAATTCAAAAATGACAAGAAGGAAGGGGAAGGCATGAGAAAAAGCAACAACTCTCTTCCCACAAGTAAAGGAAGGCACAGTGGCCTGGTTCACACCTAATTCTAACCCATGGTTTGTTCAACAAACCAAAAGCTGTGCCACAGATAGTCAAACCAACCACGGTTTGTTCCTCACAGCTTGTTTTCCAGCAACTTGTGCCTTTGTAGTTTGGTGAGCATCTGGGGTAGGGAAGCCAAACAAACCATAGTTAAGGAAAGGGACTACATTCGCATGTAACACCAAGCCCAAGTTTAAGCCCAAGGGCTTAAGTTGACATCAAACCATGGCTTCAGGTCGTGGTTTGTTGGCAGTAGAGAAACTATAGTTTACGCATAACACTGAGCCATTGGTTAATAAACTGTGTTTTAATGTTATGTGCAAACCAAGTTTATATCTGTAGCACTATCCCTATCAGCAAAATCCTTAAGAAAACATAAGCCCACAACTGGAATTACATTTAAAACCCTTTTGGGCCTCCAGTGGAAACATATTTTCAATTGCTCTGTGGGACCAACAGTTGAGGGTGGGAGAGTGGCCTTCAGGATCAGTTCCTTACCTGATTTTTCACAGGTGTCACAAAATTTCCTTTCTTCCTCCAGTCTATGGTTTTTGGACATGCCTCACCACGGCTGATGAAGTTGCCAATGGTGGCTGAGCAGTTCTGGAAACAAGAAGAGAGCCCCTCACTCAGCTGGCAGCTGACGTACCCCAGACACAGAAGCCCCTGAGCCACAAGTGGTGAGCGTTGCCAGGTTGGTTGGCCACAATCCGCTGCGGCACATCAAATAAGAATGGGGGCTTGGAGGCTGGTGGAGTCTCTGGCTCAATTGCTACCTCTGCAAGCCACCATCTCCCACCTGCAGCCTCACATCAGCTGCAGGAGCAAAATAGTATCAGACACCACCACCAACACGAGTTCACCATATGACGCTTGGCAACCCTTCTCCATATATTTTCCCTAATTTTTATTACAGTAGTCTCTTATTATTCTTTTTATTATCTTCCATAGAAGGGACTACACTCATTATATGTAAAATAATCCTACTGGGAATTGCAATAATGACTTGAGAGTAAAATTCACAAGTAAGTTGGCTAGCCTGTTTTAAGAAAATATTTTCCCCGATTCCATGGTTTACAAAAATATTTTTCACTTTCAATGCATTACAGAGCAATGAAATAAAACTGCTCAAGTCCCTATTTTTTAAAAAACAAAACACAACCCCAGCATTTTATTGCTTACAGGAAAGTATTTTTAAAGCCTCTATTTAAAACACGCTCTCTTCCTCCTCCAGACTTTGTGTGTTTCCAGGATGTCTTATTTTTAGACGGTTAGAGCTCTATTTTCAGAACCTGAATGCAATTCGGGTAATAATGTGTTCACAAAATGCAGTACTCCATATTTAAACTGGGTGCTCGGCCACTCCCCATACAGCACCTGCCTGGTCCATGGGTTCCCCTGGCACGTGAATATGGCATGCGGAGGTGAAGGAACCTCCTGAAATGCCTCCTGGGTGCTGGGTCCTTGCTAGTCCAGCATCACCTTTAATTTCAGGCTTGAGATAGTATAAGTGAATCACTATGACTGTTATGTACTGAAGTTCTCACCCTGGGCCAGCAGGGGGATACTGTAGATAGTTTTCACTCAGGTCCACATATGCAAATAAGGGATTGAAAGTGACATTCAGTGATTGGATAGTTACAGAAAGTGGTTACTGATGCATTCTAGTGGAGCTCTATATGAGCAGGCTGGCTGAACCCTTCAGTTCTGTTCTGACCTGTGAATAAACAAGAGCTGTTTGAAGAATCGCTGTGTTGTCTGATATGTTCACCCACAACTTAACACTGACCACCTGAAAAGGGGCCATATAAATACTAAGTCCAATGTTTATCCTTCGGAAAGAGAGGTATAAAAACTCAAGTCTTTTAGCACATACACTTTGGAACTCCCTGCCAATTGACAGAGCCTTTGCTGTAATTTTTTATTTAGGAAAGCCTATCCAGGTATGTTGAATGTCAATCTGTGTTCTAATCTGTGTTTAGTTTATCACTGATAATAATTTTAATTTACTGAATGCTTTAAATAGTCATTTTAACTGTCTGTATATGAATTCTATGAAATAAAAAAATTAAATACAGCATGCACGCACACACTACTGTGACAGGTAAATTTTAAGCTCTGTTCTATCTTCCGGAGCTTCGCACCAAACTGATGTGCTTCCTTCCTTTTTCTTTAGGACAATGTGTTTCTCCCTCTCTTCTGAGAATTTATTGTGAAAGTAGAAGAGCACAGTCTTCTTCTTTGGCGATCACTCGTAGCCAAGTAAGATTCTCTTCCATAAACATGGTTTTAACAGTGGGTCTGTAAGTGACTGCAGAGGCCAATTCTGGATCCACACATCCTTCCACAGTAGGGACATAGGTTTCCAGGTAGGAGTTGATCACAGTGTGGATTTGCCAAGCGTGCCTTCCTCTTAGCGTGTTTCTCCCTTGCATCCTGAGTTCGAGCATCTTCAAAGTCCATGACACCTTTGGTAAAGGCTGTTCTCCAACTGGAGTGCTTGCAGGCCAGTGTTTCCCAGTTGTTGGTGTGTGTTTATACTACATTTTTAAAGATTTGCCTTGAGAGAGTCTTTAAACCTCTTTTGTTGAACACCATCATTATGCATTCCATTTTTAAGTTCGGAATAGAGTAGTTGCTTTGGAAGACAATAATCAGGCATCCACACAACATGACCAGTCCAACGAAGTTGATGTTGAAGAATCATTGCTTTGAAGCTGGTGCAAAAGGCACAAATTAGGACCTATTAAGCCCTATTTGGCTTGGGCCCAAGCTGTCTGAAGGACCATCTTCTCCCATACAAACCTGCCTGGGCTCTGAGATCTTAGTCCTGCCACCCTCAGAGGCATGCTTAGTGGTGACATGGGAGAGGGCTCTGGCAGTGACTGCTCCCAGACTTTTGAACTCCTTTCTTAGGGAAATTAGACTGGCTTCCTCCTTGTTGCCATTCCGCCAGCAGGGGAAGACTGTTTTATTTTGACAGGCTTTGGTAAAGGACTGCTTTTAAAAGGAAAGGGTTTCAATACACGTACCTTGAAAGTCGAACAGAATCTGTTCTGGAAGTCCATTCGACTTCCAAAATGTTTGGAAACCAAAGCACAGCTTCTGATTGGCTGCAGGAAGCTCCTGCAGCCAATCGGAAGCAGCAGCAGAAGCCCCAGCCGGCGTTCAGCTTCCAAAAGTAGTTCGCAAACTGGAACAGTCACTTCCAGGTTTGCAGCGTTCGGGAGCCAAAACGTTCGACTTGCAAGGTGTTCGGGATCCAAGTACAACTGTATTGCTGTGCTGTTTATACTATTTGCATTTTTGTATATTTGTTTTTTATACATTTTTAATTCTTTCGGAGTTGAATTGCTTTTTAACCATTATCTGTTATATGTTTTTAGCTTTTGGCGTTTTATCTGTGTTGCTTTAATTTGGGTATGCCACCTGGAGTCCCATTCTGGGGCAAAGGCAGGATATAAATAAACATAATAATGATAACTACGACAATAAATTTATGTTGGTATGCTGCAGTGCATTGCTTGCTGTGAAACTGAATCCCCACCCCCAGCCCTCCCGCCCCCTGCTGCAATAAACAGATGCACTGGCATTCAATCCCAGGCTTTGTGTGTGGGTCTGGCTTCCTGGATTTTGAACTTTCTTAGATGCATTCTCTGGGGCCAAGGCACACCGTCAACCCATGTAAGGATTCCTCTCTTGCACAAGCATGCTTAAGGGTTACGTGTGAAGGACGCGCACCTGTGGCTTCCGAAAGACATGTGCAATAGAGAACATGGCAAGGACGCAAGCCCAGGGTTGCATGGTGAGCCCCCAAAGGTTCCTTGTATGATGGGGGTGGTGGGGTGGGGAGGGAAAGGGCAGGAAGGCGCAAGCCTTTACCTGGGGTTCGCGCCAGAGATACTTTTTCCTGAATTCAGCAAATGTCATGTCGGCAAACTGGTTGAGACCCACTGAGGAAAGAAGGAGAGAGAGAAGAGGGAGTTGTGAAGCCAGGTCTGCCGTCAACCTTGCCCTCTTTTAAAAGGTATCTCAAGAGCAGGGTCCGTACTTTGGAAGGTATGATTCCCAGCATTGTGCTTCTCAATCTTCTGCTTGTTACTAAGGAAGATCTGAAAGCGCCGCTGATACTCCTCCAGGCCGTACTGCTTATTGTTCTGTGGGAGAGAGGAAGGACACAGCAGCTGCAGCACACAGAACTGAAAGTGCAACCCTGGGCAGATTTAGAACAGAGAAGTGCCTCCCCCTCCCTTGCTCACAAACCGCACCTTCTTTGGAAATCCCCCACCCCACTTCAATCTGAAGTAGCCATTTCAGTCATGGAACTGAGACATGGGAACTGGTGGGTGGTAAGAGACCAAGGCATAAGCTGCCTACTGTGATGCAGGTGGTGAACCTGTGGCTCTTCAGGCATCATTTATTCCATTTAGTACCACTACTACTGATGTGGGTGGCGCTGTGGGTTAAACTACAGTGCCTAGGACTTGCCGTCAGAAGGTCGGTGGTTCGAATCCCCGCGACCGGGTGAGCTCTCGTTGCTCAGTCCCAGCTCCTGCCGACCTAGTAGTTCGAAAGCACGTCAAAGTGCAAGTAGATAAATAGGTACCGCTCCGGCGGGAAGGTAAATGGCGTTTCCGTGCGCTGCTTTGGTTCACCAAAAGCGGCTTAGTCATGCTGGCCACATGACCCAGAAGCTGAACGCCGGCTCCCTCGGCCAATAAAGCGAGATGTGCGCCGCAACCCCAGAGTTGGCCACGACTGGACTTAACGGTCAGGGGTCCCTTTACATAGTAGTAGTGGTAAGGTAAACCTTACCACTACTACTATGCATGGAAGAGTGAGCTGGACCATAAAGAAGGCTGATCGCTGAAGAATTATGCTTTTGAGTTATGGTGCTGGAGGAGACTCTTGACAGTCCCATGGACTGCAAGAAGATCAAATCTCTCCATTCTTAAGGAAATCAGCCCTGAGTGCTCACTGGAAGGACAGATCCTGAACTGAGGCTCCAGTACTTTGGCCACCTCATGAGAAGAGAAGACTCCCTGGAAAAGACCCTGATGTTGGTAAAGATTGAGGGCACAAGGAGAAGGGGATCGAGGACGAGATGGATGGACAGTGTTCTCGAAGCTACCAGCATGAGTTTGACAGAGCTGCGGGAGGGAAGATAGGAGTGCCTGGCGTGCTCTGGTCCATGTGGTCACGAAGAGTCGGACACGACTAAACAACAACCACTACTACTACTATTATTAAATTTCTATACTGTCCTTCATCCAAAGATCACAGGGCAGACTGCAATATAAAAACCATAATAACAAACAAAACCAATAACCCCGCCCCAACCCAGTTTAAAAGGCCACTGATTGCCTTAGCTGGTCCTGTACTGAACAATTCTTTGGCATGGGGTCCTCTTGGCCACATGCTCAAAAAATCTAAAATTTCAGTTTTTATTGCATGGCTATATGTATGACTCTGGGACGCGGGTGGAGCTGTGGGTAAAACCTCAGCGCCTAGGACTTGCCGATCCTATGGTCGGCAGTTTGAATCCCCGTGGCGGGGATTGCTCCCGTCTTTCGGTCCCAGCTCCTGCCCACCTAGCAGTTCGAAAGCACCCCTAAGTGCAAGTAGATAAATAGGTACCGCTTTATAGTGGGAAGGTAAATGGCGTTTCCGTGTGCTGCGCTGGTGCAGGCTCGCCAGAGCAGCTTCGTCATGCTGGCCACGTGACCCGGAAGTGTCTCCGGACAGCGCTGGCCCCCGGCCTCTTAAGTGAGATGGGCGCACAACCCTAGAGTTGGACACGACTGGCCAGTACAGGCAGGGGTACCATTACCTTTTTATGTATGACTCTAGATATATTTTTATGAACAACAGTGTATCCTAAGTATTTTATTATTATTATTATTATTATTATTATTATTATTATTATTATTAACTGGCTCACTGGGGCTGAACGGCTTTGCACCTTTGTTTCCAGGCAGGCAGGCAGGCACCTATGTGGGGAAAAAACACACACAGCTCAGGCCACCCTCCCTGGGGGATAGAATAGAGAATAGGAAGGGTGAGGTGCTTCCTGGAAGGAAGGAAATGAGCTGCCTTTTACTGCTTGCTGAAATGTGACAAAAGGAGGTGGCCGTCTGGAAGACAGTTATGCAAAATGCTGACTCTTGTAGCGATATTTCCCATTAATTCTGATTTAATTCAAAGTGACTCTCCGAATCCAGCACATCTTGAAAAAGACCTAAAAAATCCCCCTGCAGGACCACACTAGAGAACAGCCAGGACAGCACTGAATGAAGAAGGAGGGAGGGAGGGAAGGAAGGAGGGAGGGAGGGAGGCGAAGGCGGCACTTGCTCTCTTCCCTCCCACGCTCCCTTGAAAGTCCAGCAGCAAAGTCCCTTCCAGTGGAACCAGGCCAAGGGAAAGTGAAACAGGCCTTGAGCATAGGGGGGTTATACCTAACTTTGGGAGAGTGGCGGCTTATGAATGGGCAGGAGGGCCTTACCTGAGACATCCATGTCTTGAAGAGAAATTCCTCTGTTGAGGGAAGAAGAAAAAGACAAAATGAGAGACTTTTAAAAAAGAAAGGGCAGATCCGCACCATACATTTAATGCACATCCAACTCCCCATTAAGCCACCTAACGTCTCCCAAAGAATCATGGGAATGGTAGTTTCCCCTTCACAGAGCTATAGGCTGCAACAGCCTTCACAAATGACAGTTCCCTGAAGTCTTTTGGTGGAAGTCATCTGCTTTCAGCGAGAGCTGGATGTGTATTAAATGCTACCCTAAGCTACTAATTCGCAAGATTCTGTTTCACATCTTATTATTAGCATTTACAGGGCGAGTCCTTTAAAAGAGGCCCGGTGGATACAGAGTACAGTGGTACCTCGGGTTACAGACGCTTCAGGTTACAGACGCTGCTAACCCAGAAAGAGTACCTTGGGTTAAGAACTTTGCTTCAGGATGAGAACAGAAATCGTGGGTCGGCGGTGCAGCGGCAGCAGGAGGCCCCATTACCTAAAGTGATGCCTCAGGTTAAGAACAGTTTCAGGTTAAGAACGGACCTCCAGAACGAATTAAGTTCTTAACCCAAGGTACCACTATACTGTACACCTGTTCCACGGGGCCTCTTTTAAAAAAGACTCACCCTGTATATCCTGCCTCTCCTGCAAGGAACTCAAGATAGCAGGCATAACTAATTTATCCTCACAACAACCCTATGAGGTCGGTCAGTCCCAAGGTCACCTAGTGAGCTTCATGGCTGTGCGGGGATTTGAACCCTGCTCACACAGGTCCCTAGTCCGACACTCTAACCACTACACCGCACATTATGCACAGAAGCAAGCTGCGCCTCCGCACACCCCTCGCCCAGGACGATGGTGACCACCCACTCAAGTTCTTGCCATCCCAGCCAGTGAGATAATAGTATAACAACGAATAATCCCTTATTTATTAAATTTGTATACCGTCCTTCATCCGGAGATTTCAGGACGGTTCACAGCATAAAATACAAGATAAAAACACAAAACTCTGAGCGTGGGGAGGCAGGCGCACGTTGACTGCTCTCGCCCTAGCCGCCTCCATTTTTCTGCGGGCGCCTGAGGACACGCGCGCTCCTGGCCAAACCCTCCGAGGGCGAAGTAGTGAAAGCGAAAGGGAATGTGGCGTGGGGAGAAACGGGGCCAGGCGCGGAGGCTCCTCCGCCCCCGCTTTTCTTTCTCTCTCCCCCCCCCATAGGTGCGCTTCTTGCGCCAGCCGCCCCCTTCGGAGCCCCCCACAAATCGTCACCGGCTCCTGCCCCTCCTCCTCTCGGGGGAGGGGGAATGGCTCCCTCTCTCGTGCCCCCCACGCGCGCTCGCGCTCCGCCGTACCTTCCTGGTGGCTGAGCAGGCAGGAGCCGAGCGCGGAGAAAACCGCAAGCAGGAACAGCGGCAGCAGCTGCGCCCGCATCTCGCCCGCGGTGGAGACGGCCGGAGTCGGACTGCGAGCCTCGGGACGCCGGCGGGGAGGAGGAGGAGCAGCAGCAGCGGTGGCCGCCTCCGGGGAGGGCAGAGAGGGAGGAAAGGCCGGCCCCTTCCAGCCCGTGGCCAAGGAAGGCGAGAGGCGCACTCTGCCCGCGCTCAGAAGCCACGCCGCTGCTCTCCCAACGAAGAGCAGGTGCTTCCAAGGAGGCTGTCAAGAAGGAGTTTCTTTCTATCTTTCTTTCTTTCTTTCTTCCTTCCTTCCTTCTTTCTTTCCTTCTTTCTTTCTTTCTTTCTTTCTTTCTTTCTTTCCACCATTCTTCTTCAAAGAGCTCAAGGTGGCGGACCTGCTTCTCCCCAATCTCATTTAATCCCCACGTGGCACAAAGTTAAACTCTGGAACTCCCTCCCACAGGAGGCAGTGATGGCCATCAACTTGCAGGCCTTTAAAAGAGGATTGGACAGACTCATGGGGGGGGGGAGAGCTATTGATGGCTGCTATGCTCTGCCTTCAAAGTTGGAGGCAGCAATTATTTTGAATACCAGTCAGTGGAAAGTGGAGAGTTCTCTTGCGCTCAGATCCTGTTTGCAGGTTTCCCAAAGACATCTGGTTGGCCACTGTGGAAAACGGATGCTGAACCAGATAGGCAACTGGCCTGATCCAGCAGCCTCTTCTTATGTTCACAGCACCCCTGGGAGCAGGGATTCCCCCCCCCCAGGGGGAACTAGCCAGAACAGTTCCCACGCCATTGCCATTCTAAGTGAACGAGGGAGGTGTTCATGGTGAGTTCCGGCACCTCTTTGTCCATAAAAATAGCACTGCCTATGACGTAGGTTAGGCTGGGAAATGCAGTCCCTGCCCCCATGAGCTTAATGGGCGAGTGGTGATTTAAAACCTGGTCCAAGACTCTCACCACTACACCACACTGCATTTCAGTGGTGGGGGCAGAAGCAGAGTGAGAGCCCAATTGGACCAGTTGTTTTCAAGCTTGGACTCCCTCCCTGTTTTCCTCTACTACTCCTGCCCCAGCTTACCTCCAGCCTGTCCCAACCTGTTGCCCTCATGGTGTTTGGAGCTGCTACTCCCATCAACCCAGCCAGGACCAGAAGGTTAGAGCAACTCATCCCTTTGGCTGCCAGAGGCCTCCTTGCCTCTCCCATTGGGACTGATCCCAGTCAAAGGGTTCATCTCAGTCAAAGACCCCTTATGCATGGGAAATCCCAAGTGTAGCCCCCCATCCAGCCCCTCTGTTGGGCCCCTGGAACTCTCCGCAGGCCACATCCCTTCAAACCTCAAGTGTTTTTGGTGGGATGGAACATGTGTCTTTGAATTCTGATATCAACCATCTCAGACCCTTTGATGATCAGCAGGTGAGGCCTCGCTGGTGGTGCCATCTGGTTGGCATTGACCTGGGACAGAGTCTTTTCTGCGGTGGCTCCCTGTTTGTGGAATGCCTTCCCTGGCAAGATTGCATCTGCCAGCATCATTATTGACTTTGAGGAGGAATTTAAACACATTCATATTTACCCAGGTGAATGTGGTGGCTGAAGGACACTGGCCCTGCTACCCTGTGATCATCCGTTGAGATAGTGGGTGGAATTCACCTAACAAACTTGAGTGAAATGGCTTCTGCTTGTGCAATAGAGCTTTCCCTTTTTCCACCCCACCCCCCCAAAAAAAATGACTCGAGGGGCAGCTTGGGAGAACCTCCAGAACAGTACATGGCAGAAGGGGGACAGTTCCCTCTACCAACCTGACATGCTTATGCAGGCAGAACATTTGTAAGTACAATGTTGAATTCCACCCATAGTTTCTAACTTTTTAGGATGTTTTTAAAGGGTTTTTAGGTTTTTAATCACACACAGAGAGACATAAGTCTTTTTATATTACATCTTTTTCTCCAAGGAGCTCAAGGTGATGTAGATGGCTCCTCCCTACCTCATTTAATCCCCACAACAACCCTGTGTGGTAGGTTAGGCTGACAGGCAGTGACTGGCCGAAGGTCACCCAGTGAGCGTCATGGTCAAGTGGGGATTTGAACTCTGGTCTGCCAGGTTGTAGCCCAATGCTCTAACCACTACACCATGCTTCCTCTCAAACCACACACACACACACACACACACACACAATTGCTGTGTCTGCTGCCCTGGGCTCCTTCAGGAGGAAGGGCAGGATATAAATGGAGTACAGTGGTACCTCGCAAGACGAATGCCTCGCAAGACGGAAAACTCGCAAGACGAAAGGGTTTTTGGTTTTTTGAGTTGCTTCGCAAGACGATTTTCCCTATGGGCTTGCTTCGCAAGACGGAAACGTCTTGCAAGTTTGTTTCCTTTTTCTTAAAACTGTTAATACAGTTGCGACTTGACTTCGAGGAGCAACTCATAGCACGCGGTGTGGTAGCCTTTTTTGAGGTTTTTGAAGACTTTGGTGATTTTTGAAGCTTTTCCAAAACTTTTCCGAAACCGTGCTTCGCAAGACGAAAAAATCGCAAGACGAAAAAACTCGCGGAACGAATTAATTTCGTCTTGCGAGGCACCACTGTAATTAAAATGAGCAATAAAATAAGCAATGCCTTGCTTATCTGGATGGAAGACAGAGAGGGATGTGCAAGTGTGTGCAGAAAGTGGGCTAGTGAAAGAAGGAAATATTTCCATTAATTGAACCACCCACTTTTGCCTCTGGCCCCACCCACTTCTGGGACGAGAGCCTTGGAAGGTTACCCATAAGGCAGTGGTTTTCAACCAGGGTGCTGTGGCACCCTGAGGTGCCTTGAGGGATGGTCATGGGTGCCACGGGCAACACTGGCCTCTGTCCCTCTTTCTTTCCTTCCCTTCCTCCTCTGATGCCCTCTCATGTCTCTGCCTTCCAAAGGCTTACACAGTGGTTTGTTGCAGCAGACCTGGCTACAAGCTCTGCGGGTGAATTGTGCCTCTGGGGCTGGCCAGGGGGTGCTGGTTGCCAGGAGCTGAGGCGGCCTTGGAGTAAGCAAGCAGACAGGCAAGGGAGCTCAGCCAGCCAGTCCACCACCCCTTGCTGTTGGGAATGGGCTGACAAGTCCCAGGCCCCTGTGGGGCAGTATGAGGAGGCGTGTTTCTTTGGGGCAGGGAGGGGCAGCTCAGAGACCAGGGGCAGAAGCCCAGAGGACTTTCAAGGAGAGGGGAGAAGAGAGGAGGCTGAGGTAACACTCCATAAGGGAGGATGTTGAAGAAAGGATGAGAGGCTGCCAGCCCTGCTGGCAAGGGGTGACATAACTGGGCTTCTGAGCCTCACAGGGGTGCCAGAGAAAGAATGCAGTTGGGCAAGGAAGTCATGGACTCAAAAAGGTTGAAAACCTCTGCTATAAGGAAACATGGCCCCCAGCTTTGCTGCATGGCTGGTAACTGGTGATTGATGGGTTACAGCAGTTACCACTCCCTGTCTTCCCATAGAGTTCCTGCAGACCGTCCTCCTCTCAGGTGACCTTCTGCTTAGTCATATTTTGGGGGTCTTAACCAGGCTTTTCTGATGAACTAGGCAACCTCCCCTGCTTAAACTTGCTCATCCCAAACACCTCACCCTGATGGGTCCAAAATACACCTTTGCAAAGCCACTGTTCACCCTGAGATAGAATAGATTTATTAGCAAGAGGTAATCAGGAAACATATATTTTTACAAAAATGGAAATTTTTTCCTTTTCCCAAACAAACAAGCTGTAAGTCGAAATATTTTAGGTCTTGAAAGAGAATTCTCATACCAATGGGTATTGCTTACAGCAAAAGGTTTTGTTTTGTTTTTTCTTCTTCTGGTTTTTCCGTTACTGTGGAGCATGCCTGCCACTCAAAAATTCACCTGGGCTTATATCCTGTACAATGTAAAAAATACGTGATAATATTCACAGAATAAGCAGTACATTACTGTAGTCCTGCTAGCAAGTGGTTAGACAGGATTACAGTATATGTAATAAAAACACTTGGCCATTCCCCTCCCTCCCTCCCCTCCCCTCTCTAATTCTACATTATGTTACTAAGAAGAGTCACTAAAGTCTACGGACGGAGGAGCGAAATTCACACAGAGCCTCTCAGGAGGGCGATGAAGCAGGAAGGTTCAAAGATATGGTTGGTCTCTGTCTGTCTGTCTTCCTCTTGTGGCTGGCCCAAGCCACCTGGGTGCTTGAGGCAGGAAACCCAAATGGTGGTTGTCTCCTCCCTGCCCTGCTTCCCTACCCATTTATGTGGGGACAGACAGCACCCCTACAAAAGGGAGTCCTCTTGCACCAAGAGTACCTGTTCCCCAGGGGAGACCTGTCTGCCTGTCTCCTTCCTACTCTGTCACCCAAACCCTACTGAGGCCATTGAAGAGAGCCACCATCTTTCCACTATCAAGCCTGTTTTGCTCAGTTGACCACCACGGGTCAGATTCTCCTTCAAGCCTCTCTTATCTCCTTGGCAACAGGAGGTCAGAGTCCCCTTGGCTCTCTCTGCTCCTGCCGCTGCTCAGTGAAATGCGTCCTCAAGAATTTGCTTTCCCTTATTACATGACTTGTATTGGGGGACTTAGCGGTTGCCGTCCGAAATGACTCGGAGTGAGTGTGTGTGTTCCGTAGCCCCCCTCCCGGCAAAATGGAAGGCCGTGCCCAGATTGCAGAGGCCTGGAAAGCAGGCAGCTGTTCCTCAGGTAAGGAGGGGCTCCCTTGTGCAATGCCCCACATGCCCCCATGGGTGGCTTTCCCGGCTGCCACCCCCTCCGTCCCTCCCCCCGCCCCCAGTGCACGCACGCAAAGAATCAACAACAAAGAGAACATAGCTGAATAGGAACCAGGACTGCAGTCAACAAAGTGGTCTATGCCGGACTCCCCAGGACAAACGGTGGCTAGTCAGATTCTAAGGACAAAGAGAGGGGTGGTGGTGGTGGTGGGGTCTTGGAGAAGCACATACGAGGAAGTCAACTGAGGGTTCCCAAAAGAAACAAACAGCTGCTATGTACAATATGGTACATGGTGTACAGGGAAGGGCCCCCAGGGGGCTGCTGCCACTCTGGACTCAGGTGGGCAGCTTTGGCTCTATCTGGAGCGAGGCCTCGTAAAGACCCTCCTCGTCCATCACAAAGGACTGGTCCAGGAGGTACTGGGTGACCTGGAAGAGAAAGAAAACAGAGAGAGGGTGAAGGAAAGGGAGACAGCGAGGGGTCAATGCTGCTCCCTCTGGACCCAAGGGG